CCACGCAGTGATTTTAGTTCACAGACTCAGAGCCTGAGGCCAGTTTATTGACATACAAACCAGTGCGCACTGGGGTGAGGTCCGAAGACCAACACCCCGAGCCCCACACGCAGGCGGGCTTTTATTTCATTAAACCACAAGCAAGGTACAAACAATACGTCATGAGTTAAGAAATTGGGGACGAATCACAGGCTAGGCATGGGGTGAACACGAGCTCAGGGGCAAATCACAAGCCGGGGATGGGGTGAGCACGAGCTGATCACGAGCTAAGAAGTTGGGGTTGGGGTCAGTCCTCCCTCCTCCCCTCGCCTACTTTCTCAACTTCCGAGAGGTGGGTGTAGAGGGATGCTTGGTGGTTTCCACAGAGTTGGTGCTTGGCCCTAGTTTGGGTACATTTCTTAAGACTTGGTACATGTCATTTTCCGGGGGATTTTGGCGACAGGCTAAGGGGGGGGCTTTTCAGGAGATGCTTAAAGGGGAACTATTATAGGTATAGTTGGAATTGGAGAATTTGCAGATAGCTACAACTGCAAGAGTGATTAGCTCTTTGCAAAAGCAATTTCTTAATGTATTTCATAAACTTGCGGTTAATATATTCTGTGTTTCTTTCCTTCCTCTCTTTCCCTCCTCTGTGACTACTTTTGTCTGGGTTTTGGCAGAGAATTGATTTGAGCAGTATTGTTCAGGTTTTTAGGCCTTCTCTACTCTGCACAAAGGTCACCATCATGACAGCCTTTTGTTGGAGGTGTTTTGGGGCCTGTAGGCCCAGAACTTTGGCTATCGGAAAGGAGGCCCCCCTGTTCTGTTCCTCCACAGGTGTGTCCCTGGGAAATGCACGCTGGCTTAGAGTTCTTAGGGAAGCTTCCTGGGAACAACTGACTATGATCAGAAAGTCCATCTGCCAGTTAAGCATTTATCTTATTAAAAAAAAAACACCCCATACTTTGTTGTAGTTAAACATTGCTGATGATAATATGTCTTTACAAATGATAAAACCAAGATTTTTTTTTTTTAAACAGACTTTAGATTCCTGGGGGGAAAATAATAATGGATGCACTCAGCTACGAGAGAGTCAGGAAATGTCAGGAATTAGTTTTACCTTCCATTTTTATAAATCTTTGCATACTCCATTATGGATTTACACAGCAAAGAAATAGCTATTTACATTTATATCTGTGCCTGGCCCCAAATTTCTGGATGATAAGAAATGCCTCTTAGGTTAGCAGTGCGAGCCAGAAATATATTATTCATGCTTTCTCTACCGAAGAAAACACTGTGGATACCATAGTACAGCACAAATAAAAACCAGACTCCTTCATTTCATTTAGAGCAATTACAATTCTTGAACTAGATCAAGATGTATTTCATCATTCTTTTTCACAGTCTGGATACTGTGAGAGAGAGAGAAATCTTCACATCCCATTGGCAGTCTGTTTCCTTTCTATTTACATTCCAGCTCTCTTTTGAGCTCATCTGCAGCAACAAAATACGTCCCTAAAGAAACCCCTATAGCACACAAAGCATTTAGTGTTTTGGTTTATTTTAGTGACCACAAAATACCACCCATACAAAAATGCGTGTGCTGCCATTTTTTGATCTTGCCTTTCTTAGACAGTCAAAGTTCTGATGGTGAATTCGGTTATCATTGCAAGCTAACCATTTTTATTCTTTTTGGTTGAGTTCGTCCCACCAGGTTTGTATCATAGCAGTTCTTTGCGATGTTAACACTGAGTTAGATGGGGACTTGGACCAAATGCTTATGCAGGGGAATAAGGGGGAGGAAGAAATTATCTTACACCTGGGTTGGCTACTTGGCTCTTGGAGCAAAGGAGAAGAAGGGCATTGTGTACCTGCTTACCACCTCTCCCTGCGTGGGTGACTGAGATGTAGGACAGGAGGGGCAAGGAAGGGCTGGACCCTTAGTTATCTCCCAGTGTCTGAGCCACTTCAAGGACTAGTACAGGCAGGGCCGGCTCCAGGCACCAGCTGAACAAGCTGGTGCTTGGGGTGGTAGATTGTTCGAGGCGGCATTCTGCCCAATCCTAAGGCGGCACGGCCGCTTTTTTTTTTTTTGTTCCGCTCCGGCTGCCCTGTAGGGGGCGGTGGCGCGGAGGACTGGAGCGCCCTGCAGGGCAGTCCTCTTCCTTCCCTCCCCGCCGACCGGAGCGGAGCCCTTGCGGCAGGCGGCGGCGCAGTGGGAGGGGCCGCGTGGCAGTGCCCCTGCTGTAGCCCTGGCCGCGCCCTCCCCTTCCCAGCCAGTCCCCCTGCACCCGCGCTCCGGCCGCGCCA